GAGGGGCATCGGGCGTGGGGTGGGGGCAGAACCAGTGATGGGGGGAAATGAGGGTCCCCTGCCCAGGCCTGACGCCTCTGGTAGAGGCGTCAGGCCTGGGCAAGGGGCCGATCCTGCAATTGGAGGGTGATGGGGGTCAACGCCTGAGGGCTCCCAGTATGTGAGAGGGGGCAGGCTGGGCTGAGGGACACTCCCCCCTCCCCCCCCACACACACCCAGTGCACGAATTTCGTGCACCGTGCCCCTAGTTATAATATATTGTTGTAAGTATTCTATTTTATTAGTTATTGCTATTAATCTCTTACTGTGCCTAATTTATAAATTAAACTTTATCATAGCTATGTATGTATAGGAAAACACAGTATATATAGGGTTCAGTGCAATCTGTGATTTCAGGCATCCACTGGAGGGTCGTGGAATATATCCCCTGTGGATAAGAAGGGACTTCTGCAGAGCCATATTAGAGGTTGTTAAGTGGTATCTTGGGCTTTTAATCTAATGATTAATGATGTTCAGCATCTTTTCAATGTTTTTATTGACCATATGTATATATTTGGAAAACTGTCTATTTGAATCTTTGACCCACTTTTTAATTGGATTGTCTTCTTATTATTGAGTTGTGAGAATTCTTTATATATTCTGGATACACATTCCTTATCAAATATTAGACTTGCAAATATTTTCTCCCATTCTGTGGGTTGTCTTTTTCTCTTTATTGATGGTGTCCATTGAAGTAAAGAAATTTTTAATTTTGATAAAGTCCAATGTATCCATTTTTCCACACTTGATCTCAGCCAAAAGGCCTAGAAGCAGTAATTTATCCATTTTTTTCCTATGTTACCTGTGATTTTTATGTCATACAAAAGGTTTTGACAAACTCGAGGTCACAAAGATTTACTCCTTCAGTTTCTTTTAAGAATTTTATATATTTGTAGCTCTTATATTTAGGCCTCTGATCCCTGTGAGTTATTTTTTGTATATGGTGTAAAGGGGTCCAATTTCAATCTTTTGCATGTGGCTATCCAGCTGCTCCAGCAACATTTGTTAAAAAGACTATTCTTTCCATCACTGCTTTCTCTTCATACTTTTTCAAAAGTCAGTTGGCCATAAATGTGAGGGTTTTTTTCTGGACTATCAATTCTATTCCACTGATCTGTATGTCTACCCTATGTCAGAACCCCAGTATCTTGAAAACTGTAACCTTGTAGTAAGTTTTGTAACTGGGAAGTATAAGTTCTCCAACTTTATTCTTCTCTTTGTTTTGGCTTTTTGGGTCCCTTGCATTTTCACATAAATTTTAGGATCACCTTGCCAGTTCAGCAAAGAAGCCAGTAGCAATTTTGATAGAGAATGGGTGAATCTGCAAATCAATTTGGCTAGTATTGCCACCTTCATAATATTAAGTTGTCCAATCCATATACATGGATGTCCTTCTATAGATATTTAGGTTTTCTTTACTTCTTTTGATAGCATTCTGTAGTTTTCAGAGTATAAGTTTTACATAGTGATTTTTTTTAAAGGATGTCTTTCTAGTTCCTACCACTTATGGATTGAGGATACACTGTAGCTGATTAAAAATATCTGGAGAAGATATTATATCAGAATGGCATGGGTGGTACCAACTCATCAGTATTTTAAATATGTGTAGCCGAGTTTGAAAACCACTGACTGAAGTAATGACAAGAGTTTCAGTGGTGTTTTAGAATTTTATTTATTTATGCTTAGTTATTTCTATCGTATCTCATTCTAGAAAGGAATTAAGCAGACTAACAATAAAATATAAACTAAAAAGTGAAGACAAAAAGCAGGGGTGAAACAAGAAAGGAAAAAAAGGTGAAGACATGAATGACTAAAAATGCATACTATGATGATCTACTCTTTCCACACAAATGTGGGAAACAGAGTCAGTATCATAACAAAGCCGCAAGTACAAATATTCTTGGCAATTAGACCAGAGATATGTGTGTGTAGCAGCCTCACCATAAGAACAGTGGGAAGAAGTTCTGGCTGGTATCTCCAAGGCTTACTGCTCAGCATTCATTCAGCTTACCTACATCCAAATGCCTGCCATCACTAAATCTACTTAAAAAGATAAATGAAAGCAAAGCCAAAGGAATCAAAGAAAGCTTTCAAAATGCAAAAAAATTAAAGTCCTATGGCAAACCCCTTGTAAAAAGACAGAGCAACTTTAGTCTACAGTTAACAATATTTTGTTCTTCCAAAAAAGCAATGACAGACCAAATAAAACACAAATTCAGTGTGTCTTTTTTTTTTTTTAATTAGAACAGAACAGTAGATAAAATGTCTTTAGATGACCATGTCCAATCCTGCTCAATGCCTTCCATTTCCCACCCTGGTAATCCCTGTACCTGAATTTGTTTGTGGCTTGGGTGATTTCCATGTTAAATTCAGCCACTGGCACACCCCTGGCAGACACCTGAGGGGCAAACATAGCAGCAGGATAAACCAAGGAGGAAGTTCCCACCTACAAAGCAAACAGATGGAAACAGACAAATGACCACACTATGCAAAAAGAAACATTTTTTCAGAAAATCTCACATAAGCCCAGGCAGGTTTGTGGTTGCAGGTGTGGGGGGAAAACTAAGCTAGATGAGACAAATGGAGAGGATTTAAGGGACAAATCAGGAGTTAGGAGGCGTCTTTTTGGCTGATCACTGGAACTCAGAAAGATGTGTTATGAAAAGGAGGGTTGTGCAAATGGAGAAAGTGGCAACGGAATGACTCATCACCTTTGGGGTTAGTTTTGTTTTTGTTTCTGTTCTTTGCAGTGATGTAAATAATCCATGATCCTTTTTTTCTAAGTTAGATAACTCAAAGAAATATATAAATACATATCTTCATAATCCTACTACCCCAAGATAACCCCTGCTCACATTTTGATGGATATTCTTTCAGGTTATCCCCTATGGATATCTTATCTAATAAAAGAGAAACATGCAAATTGACTGCACCTTCCCTATGCCCCACGCCACGCCCACCAGCCAATCAGAGCAACTATATGCAAATTAACCCAACCAAGATGGCGGCTGGCAGCCACAGAGCTGGAGCAAGCAGGAGGCTTGGTTGCCCCGGCAATGGAAGAAGCCAAGCTTCCCGCCCGCCCTGGCCGGCTGTGGCCTCTGTAAAAGGCAACAAAGTTTCAATTATAGAAGATAAATAAATCCCAGATACCTGCGTCCAGCCAGCTTCCACTGGGAGCTTGGGTGGCTGGGGGCAATGGCAAGCCTGCAAACAGCCATCAGCCCCTCATCCAGGATGGCCAGGCACCCCAGTGTACTGGGCTGCATATCTGGCACTTCGGCCAGACGGGGCGTGCTGTGCTGCCTGTTCCTAAAACACATAGATAGGAAGGTACTGACATCAGGCCAGGCCTTGAGATATGGTCTCATGGCCCCTTCCCAGCACTCTGTACTCTCTGTTCCTAGAACACATAGATAGGAAGGAAGTCACTGTATGATGCTATACTGTGTCGAGAACTAATTATGTAAACAAGGCTTTGTAACTTTGTGGTTTTTGCAAATAAAAGTACTGTAATTCCTGTAGTCGTTGCTGCAGTTCAGACTCTGCTTTGGCAGGGTGCTGTAACTGTAGTCAACTGGCCAGCTTAATAAAGGCTATTAAATTTGAATTCTGAGTCAGTGGTCTATCTCGCTGAGTGAACCCATAACACCCCGCAGGACCCCCCAACCTGAAGGGGGTGTGGCCAACCTAAAAACAGCCCTCAGCCCATCACCCAGGCTGGCCTGGCAACCCAGCAGGGACCCCCACCCTAAAGGGGCTGTAGTCAGCCTGCAAACAGCCATCAGCCCCTCATAGATAGATAGAGATAGAGGCAGAGACAGAAAGGGCCAGAAACAGGGAGAGATTTCAAGGAATTGCATGAGCTGGCAAACCCAGAACTGGTAGGGCAGTGGGAAACTCAGGTGCCGGGAGCCGGTCCATCCTTGCTGTTTCAAGGAACCTGGCATATATGGCATACTGTTCTTAATATGTTTGCTCACCTTCTTGGCGCTGTGTTTTAACCAAGGTCACCTCTCTGAGAAAGGTTGGTTCCCCAGGTAGGGATTTTCCCCTGAAGTTAGGGAGGGAAGAAAACCTCTTAACTAAGTGCCAGGCGGGTAGTTAATCACTTTAACTACGAACAATCATGCTTAAGCTACATAATTTTTACTCCCTGGAATAGAGATAAGAAACGCCCTAAGCTTTGGAATAGAAATTGATAAGATAAAAATCAACTGGTATAAATACAGATGTAACAAGACAATAAGACACAGAACCTGCCTGGAGATCCTGGCTAGAACCTGGCTAGAGAACCTGGCTAGGCTGCTGATCAACTGAATGCTGTCTCTGTGTCATTCCTTCTACGCCGACTCCATCCACACCTTTGGGGACCCCTGGACCTGCTGGGGCTGGCCCCCAACAAGCGGGGACCCCCAGCCTGAAGGGGTGTGGCCAGTCTGAAAATGGCCCTCAGACCCTTACCCACACTGGCCAGAGACCCCAGTGGGACCCCCACCTGATCTGGGACACCCTTCAGGGAAAACCAACCAGCTCCCACCCTTGCAGCAGTTCTCTATCCTATATAATAAAAGGGTAATATGCAAATTGACCCTAACAGCAGATG